AGATGGCGCGGTCCCCACAGGAGACCAGGTAGCGGCTGCTGGTGTCAAAAGCCAAGGCTCTTATGGCCTGGGCGTGCACAGCGAGGAAGTGCTCCTCCGCCTCCTCTCCTTGTGTTGTACACGGCAATGTCCATGCTGCTGGAGAGGGCGACGATGCGAGCGTCGGGGGACAGGGCGACGCGACAAGGCTCCATCACCTCGCGCTTCCCCGTCAGAAGCAGGTGTGGATTCTGTTGCTTCTTATATTCCACGTCTGTGTCTCAGGATTTCCACGTCCCGTCCTTCGAAACAGTCGCCATCCTGCAGCCAGGGGACAGAGCAGAGGTGAGTGCATGGAAATTGGGCAGCGTCTCTTCCCCTGCCCCACCTGCGAACCAGGAATCCTTCGTGGCCAGAGAGCGCTTTTGGGCAGCATGAGTCTGTACATGCGTATGGGCCTCGTCCTCTTCCCAAAGTACAGATAGCTGTCACCCCCAGGAGGAAATCCAGAGGGAACATGCAGGTGCTGCAAGCCAGGAAGGGTTTTTCCACCCTGGGCTCCCAGGAGAGCGCGCAGGGAAGCGTTCCCCCACCCTGCACGGGCTCTGGCGTACACTGGGTGAGCCTTTGTGTCCCAAGGGCGAGCCAGAGCGTGCTATTACCTCCTCGCATCGTTAGAGAAAGAGACGGAATGGATGGCGGCAGTGTGGCCTTTCAACTCAAAAGTCCTGGTCACCTCCTGGAAGTCTCCGTTCTTGCCAGAACACACCTCGCACACCTTCACGTCGGGGGTAAAGCCACAGGATGCCACAAACCCGGGTGAAAGACAGGGTACGTGTTCCAGAGCACCCGCTCTGCCAGGCCGTGGGGCCAGCCCCACAGAGCTCTCCTCTGGCCTCCCGACTGAAGGCAAACCTGTTCAGACACCAACGTTCAAATCTTTGCTTTGGTCAGCTGAAAAAGTTTTCCCTTTTCGCTGAAACCAGGCTGGTAAAGGGAACGCTAAGGACCAGAGCAGCAACTCCACAACTTGAGCATGAGAAACTCCCAGGCCAAAATAAAAAAGCGAAGCTTTTGATCCCTGAACTCACTGAGCTCAGAGCATGGCAAGTCTTCCTGCAGCAACAAGTTAGAGACGGAGCAGGGAACACGATTTTCCTGATAAACAATCTCTCAGTAATAAAGATTTTAATTTTATAATTAACCTTTAAAAGGTTAAAAACAAGTTAGAAGTGCTGTTTGCTTTGCACATGCCGTTTGCATTGTCCCACCTCCAATATCCAAGGCCAATGCTGTTCTCCTCTGCTCCTCAGGAGATGGTAACAGCAACAGCAGTGCTGAGGCACAACAGCAACCCACTGAGTACCTGAGACTGCTCTCGGGGGCCAGAATCGCTTTTTAAAATGGGGAACCCTCAGAAACTTGCATTAAAATAACAGGTAATTGCCGATGGTCTGAACTGATGACATCCTCTGGGAAGGAGCAAGGTTCCTGTTTGCTCCTGCAGACTCCCACTCCGCAGCAGGAGCAGCCTGGGGTACCTCACGCCCCTCACCTTCCGCAGGGCGACACCATGGCGTAGGTGTTGTTCATCTGGTTAGCGTTAACGCTGGACAGGACTTCACCCTTCGGGCTCTGTATCAGGATGGCTGTGTCGCTGGAAGCCGTCATGATAAACTCTCCTGGGGGAAGGAGGGAAAGATCAGGAGAGCTCCCAGGCCTAACGCTGCCACAGACTTATCAACGGCCTGGGAGGTCCCTGTGCAGGGCAACCTCTCCCTGCACCTGGACAGTCAAGAAAGCACAGTGCCCTCCCAAGTGCCCAGAGCAGGGCACGACACCAGTGTGTCCAGCGTGCTCCCCTGGTGCGCCCAGCCTGCGGGGACCACCGCTGGAGCCTTTGTGCACGTAGTAATCCACAGCAGATACCCGCACCGTTGTTGTCCCAAAAACTTGGGTCCGTTACCCGGTGTGCATTGCCCAATTCACACACAGAGTCGAGGTGTTTCCCTTTATTACGTAAATGCGCAAATATGGGTGCATGGTACGAGCCAGCACCCCGTTGATGTAAACTAACAATTATTTATACAATCATCTGATAAATATTCATTGTCCTTTCTTAAATGGTTGGTTAAAATTCTTTGCCTGCCATGTAAATTACTACGCATGCTCATTACGATTCTTGAGACCTTTACTTCCTTAATCTTTTGGGTCGGTGGGTTTCTTGAGTGGGTGGTCCTTGAGGCAGTGGTCGTGATCTCCCCCTGCCAGAATTACCTTTCCCCTCCGTTCGCTTAACTTTGGCAACGCGAAGCAGTCCTTTACGGACCCTGAGCGAAGCCAACTATCATTCACTTTATTCTTTGTTATGAGACATATATCCTGTTTCATGATGCCATAGTATTGTTAGGGTGAAAATGAGCAAGGTTAATGTTTACCGACGTCACCATGAGCATGTCCTGGAGCCTGTGGTGGCTTTAGTGAAGGGGCTGTGCCTTCCCCCGCAGACAGAAAACATCCGTGCTCAGCTGGGCGCATGTGAACAGCTAGGACTGGAGCCAAAATGAAACATTCCCACAGTGTTTGGTCCAGGGTCCCTGCAGGAGCCACAATGTCCTGTGGAGCTCCTTGGGGTGCCCTAGGCTCACTGCAAGCCAACGTGGGGGACAGCCGCTCTGCCATGGGGGACAGCCGCTCTGCCTTGGGGACCAGCTTTAATCCTGAAAGCCAGAAGGCGGCTGCCTGCGGCCGGAGGGAGCCGGGCCGTGCCGCGTGCAGGTGGATTAGTGCTTCTTGCCGTAGATGGCGGCCAGCGCCTTGCAGGTGCCACAGATTTGCTGCTCCAGCCTCTCCCGCGTGGCTTTGTTTGCAGTTCTTTT